CACTTGCCGTTTTTCTTTTTAACCACGACAGGATTTGCTAACCAGTCCGGATATCTTGCTTCGGAGATTGAGCCGATCTTCAGGAGCTTTTCTACTTCGGCGTTCACTGCATCTGCGCGATCCCGACCCAATTTTCTTCGCTTCTGCTTGATGGGCTTGAAGGATGGGTCAACATTCAGCTCGTGGCAGATTACGTCGATGCTTACCCCAGGTAGATCTTCAGCCGACCAGGCGAAGGTGTCGATGTTCTCTTTGAGGAATGAGATGAGCTCGGTCTTGATTTCTTCGGTTAAGTTGCTGCCAATTTCCACGCATCGTTCAGGCCGTTCGTCGCCGAGGTAGGCTTCTTCTCCTCGCGCGCCTCCTCGATCTGTAATTGCTATAACTGTTTAGATATAGCCTTCTCTTCACTCCGGCCAAGTTTTGATTTCTTGTGATCCGTTTCAGCCTTCGCTTCAGTGACAGGGTTTCGGAGTTTGTGTGCTGCCATGAAACACATCCGAGAATTTTTCTGACTGCCCCAGATCGTTTTCATGCCATTGGGGGTCAGGAATTTGACACACAGATGATATGTTGATGCGACAGCTCGCATTAGGTTTAACCACGGAGTTCCCATTATGACGTTGTAGATGGTAGGTCGATCGGTGACTAAGAAGTTGACTATCTTTGTTACCCCGCCGGCTCGGACCAGTAGTTGGATGGTTCCAAGCGTCATCAAAGTTTCCCCTGAAAATCCGAGGACAGGCCTCGGGGTCAAAATCACCTGTGACATGTCGATGTTCATTTGTCGGAGCGTTTCGCGAAAGATTACGTCGATGGTGCTACCGGTGTCAATTAATACTCGGTAAATATCATGGTCTCCTATCGCTAAAGTGACGACGATCGGATCGTTATGAGGCATGTCGAGCCCGTTCGTCTCGCTTTCTTCGAATGTGATCACGTCGTTAGGTCGATCGAAGCGTCTTGTCCAGTTGCTAGGCGTCTCGGCTCGGCGTTGATAAGCTTTAATTGCCGCTACGGTGTCAGGACAGTATGGCGATCCACCCATTATGGTAAGAACCTTCTGCCGCGTACCATCTCGGTCTTCGTCTTCCGACCCCCGGGTTCTTTTCTGAGACTCCTGGTTCCTTGGTTCGGGATCTCTTCCCGGGTTGGTCTGCTCGGGCTCTGGTTCTGGCTCGAGGTCCTTAAGAGTAACATTCGTCCCGAGCTCTCCAGCTAGGAATTTGGTTGCTAACTTGGCTCCGAGGCTTCGGCATCTCGAGGTATGATGGCAAAAAATTTTGTGGTGTTCGCAGTATTCTTGATCATTGCTCTGTGGCTGATCCCTTGTCCAAGTGAAGGACTCTCTTCCTCGCCCACGACCTCGGCCTCTGCCGCGGCCGCGGCCTCGGGGCGTATCAATCTGGTAGCTATGGTATCCTGAGAAATTACGCCCCTCGTGATGCGTACACGTACCGCTCTCGCGTGTTTTTTTCTGGACCGGAGGCGTCGCTTGGGCTTTTTCGGCTTTCTCGGCTCGGGGCGCCTGTTTCGTTGGCTCGTGCCTCTTCGCTAGTAGCGCCATCTCTTCTTCGTGGGCGACGAAATCCGAGGCTCGGTGCAGCGCGTCGCGAATTGTTGTCGGTTTAGACAGATTCAACTCTTTCCTGAACTCTGACTTATACCAGAGGGCTTTCTTTAAAGCCGAAAGAGCGGCTACATCTGTAATTCCTTCTACCTTGGCTAGCGTCGATTTGAAGGTTTTGAGGAAATCTCTTAACGGCTCGGTGGGCTGTTGAGACATGGACCACAGATCCGCGTCGGAGGTTCCGGGGTCGATGAGCACGGAGTATTGCTTGAGGAACAGTGTCGCCAGCTCGTCAAAACTGTCAATCGAGTTTCGTTCCAATCTTGAAAACCACTCTAATGCGGGTCCTTTGAGGTGTTCCACGAACAATATGCACAGACCTGCGTCCTTTTCCCCGGGTTTGAACCTGGCTCGGGCCACAGATATCACGAACGATTTAATGTGGCACTTTGGATCGGTTGATCCGTTGTAAGAGTCGATTTTGAACTTTCCCAGATTGGACATCGTCGTTTCGGAAATTCTTTTGGTGAAAGGCGTATTCCGAGATTCTTCCAAAATTCGGTCGATGTTCGGTGCGGAGGATGAAACGCTATGTATCTGGGTTTTGACGAGCTTCATATCAGCTTCCGCCTTGGCTAGGGAGGCTCGGATCTTGCTTAGCTCGTCTTCTCTTTCAGACTCTTCGGCCCACCTTATGTTTTCCTCAGTTTCTTCGTCGTCAGTGAGATCTGTTCGCTCGGCGGAGTTAGCTCCGGCTCGGGTACGCTCATCTTGCAGATCGTCTGGCTTGTCCGTTAAATCCACTGCGTCTGGCTCGGTGGGATCATCTTGGTTCTCGCATCTGGCAGGGTCGGCTCGGGTTGCGACTCTGCTGTTGCCGGTTGGTGTCGCGAACGTGAGTCTTGTTGGGTTGATGCCAGGTAAATCCCTCCGAGCTCGTGGCGGCCGAGTCTGGAAACGCGTTGTTTTTGGTTGCCCACGTGTTGCGATTTCGTCGACTCGCTGCGCCAAAGTTTTGTTAGCTTTCTCTTGGTCGTCAGCTTTCTTCTGGAATTTAACCATCAGGTCTTTCAGTTCGGCTAGAGTCGCTATGATCGTCGGATCGGCTTGAGGATTCTGAGGGTTCGGAGGGTTCGGGATCCCTCCTCCAGCTGGTGGTGTCTGACGACCGTCTTCGTTCATCGTCCTATTCGGTAATCGAGTTCTGCGTCTTAGGGTAAGAGAATTCTAAAGTATCCCCACAGACGGCGCCAAACTGTGGAAGTCGAAACTAACACAATCAAGATTTGTCTAGGGTTTTATTTTAGGGATACGATAATCGTGAATTCTCAAAGAACAACAGAACGATTGTAACCAAAGATGGTGTTCTTGATATTATTAAGAAAAAGATGACTTTGATCGTACAAGAGTTTGATCGTAAAAGGAAAAAGATGTTTGTGCTGTGAGAGCTTTGCGTAGTGTAAATTCTAGAGCGATATTGCCTCCCCTTTGCTTGAGCCTTGAGTCTCTTTATATATAGGTGATAAACCGCCTCCCCAGCGATATTCTCGGAAGATTTCCATTTATCTTGAAGTCGGCTCAGAATATCGCGGATTAGGATAGTTTCCTTATTTTTCGGAGTCTTTGGGAGATTTCCTGATTTGAGTCGATCCTTCTAGATTCTCTCTTATCATTTCCGTGTATATAGGAAATGATCCTTTTTGTTCAGAAATGATACCTTGCTTGGAAATGGTACTTTGAAAGCGAATATTTACCAAGTCTTTACCTCGGGCGATGATGAAGACTTCACCTCGGAGAAACTTGTGCAATCGGCTCGGGTACACAGGAAGGACTGGCTCGGGCACTCTAGGATGGCTTGTTCGGGTGCCCCCGAGGTGGTGGGCTCAGAAACTCCCGAGGCAATTGGGCTCGGGTGCTTGAGACGTCTTGTTCAAGTATCCCCGAGGCAATTGGTCTCGGGTGCTTGAGACGTCTTGTTCAAGTATCCCCGAGGCGATGGGTCTCGGGTGCTTGAGACGTCTTGTTCAAGTATCCCCGAGGCGATGGGCTCGGGTGCTTGAAACTACTTGTTAAAGGTATCCCCGAGGCGATGGGCTCGGGTGCTTGAAACGTCTTGTTAAAGTATCCTCGAGGCGATGGGCTCGGGTATACTAAATCGATTAGATGGATATCCCGAGGTGAATGATGCGATGCCCCGAGGTGATCACTGAAAGACTCCCGAAGTGTTCTAAGTCTGGCTCGGCGCCAAAGGATGGAATCCGACCCCAACAGTCGGCGCTATCTAACGGTGTAGGATTAGTCCCACAATCTGGGAGGTTACTTCCCATTGGCTATTAATGAAAAAATCAGAAAATTATCATATAAAATAGTTTATTAATGAAAAAAATATAAATTATTTCTTTAAAAATTTAATATAAGTATTTCAATTTTTAGAATATTTTTTCTTATAAGTATAAAATTTTAAAATTAAGAACAATTAATATAAGTTAGTATTCCAACTATCTAACTTATATGTTCATAAACACTAGGGCATAGTTTAGGGTTTAGGGTTTAAACTTTGGGGTTTAGATTTTTTTACTCAAGTATTATTACTTTAAAATAATTTCATTGCATTTTATTTTGTTAATTTATAAAAAGTGAAATATGTTTCAAGATTGAACTTCCAACCCTAAACCCTATACCCTAAAACTAAACCCTAAACCCTAAACTATTTTTAAAAATGAATTTTATTTATGTTATTATTTGTTATAATTAATATTATTACTATTTCAAACAAATATAATCCAAAACCCTATACCCTAAACTCTTTAAAATTATAACTTTGTTATTATTTATATAATTATTAATATTATAATTAAATATTTGTGTCTTTTTTAGATATTTGGTTATATTTTTTTTCTTTCTTTTTCCTTTATTTTTTTTTTACAAAATTCGAAAATCATAACCAAAATCTTAAAATCCTAAAAATCATTTAACTTGAAACCTAAAGTACATGCCATAAAATAATTAATTCAATTTTTTTCCAGTTAAGATGTTTTAAGTTTGTTTATTTGTGTTTGCATTCTCAGATATATTTTTACCAAGAGAAAACATATGCCATTAGTAACATAAGAAAACAAAGTCAAGTGCATGTAATAAAAGAAAACACAAAGTGTTCGACACTTAAACTAATTGTAATAGCCATCGTTGATCTCTGAGAGACCTCGCAGTTCCTGCAGACTTTCTTTTTGATATCAGAGAAGATCATTCCCCATTTGGGTTTCCATGTGATATGAGACAATACTTCAACCTCTTGAAAACCAGTCCTGTAAGTAGCTTTAATGGCTTCTATAGCTCCTAATGGAAGTCCATCAAAGGACATTGCTTCAGGTGGTGGATTTGGTAACGAAACCACAAGCAACAAGAGGTTTGCATTATTCACTGCCACCTATCAAACAAACTCATAAAATCAGAAAACTGAACAAGAGCATATGGATCTTATACAAATCTTAAGAGTGAAAAATTTCACCTGAACATGGTAACAAACATCATCAAATGCAATCCACTGATAATTTAGCTCCACAGCTTTATCAAGACTGAACAAAAATAATAATGAAGACCTAAAACTCTACAAAAAAGATTGAACTTTTCTTCCATTCTACAAAATCTACAGGATGTGGTCGGAGTTAGCCTCAGGTGTGTCTTTTTCACTCGGCAGTACAACTTGCCAAAACTTGGCTAAATACTAATCCCATTCCTGTACAATCATTGTTCCTTTGCTGCTTCCCGTAAAAACATGAAAGTCTATGTTAATCGCACTAATAAAAAAACAGTCCAAAACAAAAAATGCAGACTTTGCCAAAGAGAAGAACCTAAGAACATACTTAAAGTGCATCTACGATATAAAGCTTCCTATGAGATCAAAACAAAGTATCAATATTTAACCACCTTGCACATATGAAACAAGCGAGTATCTTTTTCTCCTACCCAAATAAGAAACTAAATTATCATGAAAAATCTGGTCATAAAATAACTTTGATATACCTCCTCATGTTCATCATCAAACCAAATAAAGGTTGTGATGAGCGGGCAATCACATCTCCACTTCCTGCAATAAAGATAAAAAAAAACAGCAACATGTAAATGTGGAAGCTATACAAACGAAGTACAAATGGAAGTACCACAACCGGTGTATTTTTACCTGGATGACACCACAAGATCACAGGCAAGCGACATCTTGCCAAAACATGTAACTCAGTTATTCTCATGAGCGTAACTCAGTTGCAAGAAGTCAAGAACAGTCACATAGAGATCAATTAGATATCAATTATTTACCAAAACATTAAAATTGATATATCAAAATGAAACTCATAAACCTTCAACAGAAGTTTCACCAAGCTCTTCCTGCAAAAGAAAAAAATTCATCGATGTAAATTAAAACTTTACATGAGACAAATACCCAAAACCCAAACACAATGTCACCATAAATGTCAAATTCGACTTACATGGATGAAGATCGATGTAAAGTGACAATGAAGGATTGAGACAGAGATCGAAGTACTAGACTGAGATTAAGAAAAAACAATAGAGACTGAATCGAACGAGATGCTGAATTGAACGAGAGATTGAGACTACACATAAGAGGATCGAGATTGACATTCAGAGAACGAGAAGAAGATAGATTTGCTACGATTGAATATGAACATACCTGTTGGAGATCGAGAGAAATCGAGAGATATCGACTGAGATTGAGTTGCAGATTGTGAGAATTCGAGTGAAATCAAGTGAGATGTGTTGTTGACTGTGAGAAATCGAGAGAAATCGAGAGAGAAGAAGTTTATTTTGCCTTAAGAAAAAAATGAAAAAGTGATGTTTCTTGTTTTAATTTATTTTGCCTTAGCCAAAATTTCACATTTTTCCCTCTTAACAGATTCAATAGCGGGAATTAAACTTTAGTAACCCGAAAATTGGCCGCGTCAATTTCAGCATGTCCCGCTTAAATCATCTATAGCGTTTACAATTCAAAAAACGCTATCTTTAAATCACGATCAAGTCAAATATAGCAGAGACATAAAAACCGCTATCTTTTAGTGCTATCAATACCCACATTTCCTGTAGTGCGTAGTCCTAGCCGAGCTGACAGGTTTGCGCTGAAGCGAAGCTCCACTTAACGAAGAATCGAATTCTAAATTATTAGAAGATGTTCTTGACACAATCGATGAAAGGCGAGACCAATCCCTTATTCGACTTCATAATTATCAACAGTTGACCGCTCGCTACTATAACTCAAAGTTGAAAAACAGACCTTTAAATGTAGGAGACTTTGTTTTAAGGCGAGTGTTCGATAACACAAAAGAAGAAGGAGCTGGAAAACTCGGTATTAACTGGGAAGGCCCTTATCAAATCACTGAAAAAATCCGAAACGGTGTATACCGTTTACAAGACCTTGGTGGAAATCCCGTTCAAAGGCCTTGGAACATAATCAACTTGAAAAAGTTCTATTGCTAAAGCAAACACATTCGAACTACGATTTGTCTTGATCCTATTCTGGGTACGTAGGCAGCTCGCTAGTCACGAGTCCAGCTATAACATAAAAATAAAAATATTATTCCATCCATGGAATCCTGTTTTTATAAATTCGATATTCGAGCATGAATATAAAGATACGTTGCGAACAATGTATAAATAAATATTTCTTGCAAAGCTAAGACTGGATCTAGAAGGGTCTTGAATTACGGAACAACTCCGCTCCTTGACCAGCGAAGTCAACGATGCTCATAATGCAACCTGGCATGTTTCCGTACTCTTGAAGTCCCAGTTCGATCGAATCGGAAGGATGGGCTTCGAGGCGATGATGCTCGCGAGAAATATCGAGGCGACGTTTCTCTAGCTCCATTATCCGTTTCCTAATCTTTTTTTTTCTCATCTTCGAGCTCGTCATGCCGAGTGATAAGCTGAAGAAACGCTACGTTTAGCAATAATAAAAAGAAGTTAATCACTAGGATGGAAAATACCTTATTGATAAACTCCTCAGCCGTAACACGATCTTGAGGCGACAATCTCTCGATTAAAACGATCGGAACCTGAATGCTAGTTCCCTTCTTCAATATTTGTGAATCTTTTGGTTCGCCAGACTCTCCTGCTTTTATAAGCTCGATGTCCGAAGTCCTCGAAGGATCAACACTCATCACTTTGAACAAGTCTGAAGGATTCTCTGATGAATTACCTCCCTTGAACATTTTTGTAGAATCGTTGTTGAAATTCAATGACAGACTACACCCACTTTATACTCGAAAAATTATTCGATTGCATTTAAGAGGATTAATTGACGATTTCCCAAATCTGAAATTACGATTTTCATGGAAAATGTAATCGAGTTAATTGCTAATTATATTCCCTAGATTAAACGCATTAAATGAGATTTGAATAAGTCGGCGAATTTATAGCGAAAGGGAAAATGTAATTAATGTTGCTGGGTTTCAAGACCAGTGACATTTTACAAACATAAATAGGAAAGTGTTCGATCAAAAGTCTTCGCCCGATAATGACTCCAGCGAGGTGGAAGATCCCGAACAGCTTTCCGAGGATAGCCCCTCGTCAGAAGATATCAAAAGGGCCGGAGAAGTCATCAACAATTTTTGTCTCCGGTTCCTCTTTTTCTTCAGTTCTTAACATCGGAAGTCTCCGGAACTCTGAGGAACATGAAACAAAAGAGGACCCATCACCGGTTGCCAAGGATAAACGATGAAATTTATCCAGCATGCGGAGGAATCATCGGAGGCAAGTAAGCATTATGGCCACGATGTCTAGACCATTCCTCTCCCATTCGTGCGGTTCAGATTCCAAGCGAAGAATCTCTCTTTCCATCCTCTTTATGCGCTCATCAAGAGCACGGCACCTCCTTCCGATTCTTTGTCTCTTATCACATAAAGCTTTGTGTCTCCCGACGATCTGTTTGAACGAACATTTTGTCAAATGACCAAAAGAAAGGAAGTTATAGTTTTCTGAGAAGACTAAGAGTTAGAAAAGGAACCTTTTCCAGGAAGTCATAACATTTGACCCTTTTCTTCCCTGTTCGGAAATGAAAAAACGTTGGGTGAATAACTCCCTTTGGAGAGAATCCGTCTTCGGACTCAAACAATGGGTTCCCACTTGAAGTTGTTATTCTTGAGCTTGATCTGAAAGAAAACAGCGACATTTTTCAAGTTTTTTCTTATAATGAACTATGGTGATCTTTCGGAATTCCTTTTAAAAGAGAAAGAGGTTCAGATTTCTAAAAATAATTATATATTGTTGGCCTGTTGGAGCAGGCTTCAGATCCAATTAAAACACGGCCCAGCGATTCCGAAGCCATCATGGGCAACGATCGAAATCATTGCCTGGTCGTATTTATGAAAAAATTCTCATGAATTATAAATCTTATCCCTCGATATAAAAATAAAACTTAAGCCGAGCTCCATCCTCGCCTTCGAGAGACCGAGGAAAAATACTTATTAAGATTTTTTCTTTAAAAAAGGCAAGTGAGCCTGATCAGCTCATCTCTCACAATTCATAAAACCTCTTTGGCGGGCTAGGACTTGCAAACCTAGAATCGTGTCCAAACCTATTCTCCTCTAGCTCAGCCTCCAAGCGAAGAGCATTAGACCTCGCAGAATCGCTTTCAGGATTCGCAATTCTGATGCGTTGCTCGTTAGCTGCTAGAGTTTTCTTCATATTTTCAAAAGATGACTCGAGTGCTTTTTCCCGCTCAAGTCGCTCGGATTGGTTGGCTAATCTGAGATCATCAACCTCCTTCTTAGCCTTTGCGGTCTCTCTCTTCGCTTGATGAAGAAGGTTCTCATAATGGAAGATCATTCCATTAGTCTCCATAAACGCCTTCGGAGTAAAAAAAAAACGTGTCGTTTAGACAAGAAGCTTTTACCTAAGGAAGGGAGATTGTCATAATCTAAAAGATCCAAACCTGGGATAGGTAGCAAGCTCGATTGGCGAACATCTGACGGATTTTCGGCCTCCAAACCGAAGAAGGAGGAAGGGACGCCCCTTCCCTGGTTTGGAAACTTCGGAAGATGTCTCCATTCTCTTCTCCGCCTGCGAAGCAGAGGAGAATAGCAGATTAATAAAATAGATGCAATATGTGGCAAGTTTTGCTAATGCTCGCTTTCTAAGTAAAAATTTACCTGAAATCGAAGCGGGTAAAGGATTTTGAGTCCTAACACTCAGTCCTTGAGATAGGGGAGCCTCCAATCTTGGCTCATCTATTTCCTCTGAAATTACTCTGTCTCCCGGAAGAGGGAGCTCGGAGTTTAAAGGTTCTGAAGAGGGAGAAACAGAACGTAGAGGGCTAGAGACTCGTGGGGGAGAACTTAATCTCATGGTTTTAAGTCTCTCGTTTGATAGATTATCGGAATCTGGAGCATTCCTCTTTGTACAAGGAGAGGAGGTTATTTCTCCATCACACCCTGGTTCGGAAGGGCAAATTGCGGTGGCAACTGGAGGGTTGTTAAGGATCTCGCCTCCATGAGTATCCACCGCGGCTGACAGGGCTGCTTCTAATGAACCGTCATCAACCAAGAGGGTCTTCCTGTGGAAGTTCCCAACCCTGGAGATTGCAGCTATCCGTTTCTTTCTCCCGATTTCGGATAGCTGATCCTTAAGAGCCTTGATTTCAGCCTGCATCTTTCTTTTATCTCGAGCATTCAGGCTCGAGACGTCTTTCTCCTCGGGAGGAGGATCGAGGGGGTGAGTCTGACCGTCTTTAATGGTGAGCCCCGCTTTATGAATGCGTTGAAGGGTGAAGGAATTCCAATTTGTTTCACCCTCGGAAACGATTCGAAAGAAGGACAAGAAATCAACGGTTGGGCCGGGGATCGTTTGGTTCCCTGAAACAAAGTATTGGGTAAAGAATTCTATCTCTTTTACTTAATACAGTGGAAAGTAGTAAAGGTTGGATTTTTAACCAAGTTTAGCCGACCAATTGGCGAGAAGAAGACCGGAAAGACCTTGAACGGAATGGGGATTGACTCGAAAAAAGAACTAGTATTTCCTCCAAGGCCCATCATTCGAGGGCATTCCGTCGATCAGGCTACGGTCAAGGATAAGGTTTATAGAAAAAATACCCGCTGCTGCGGATTCACGGGCTCGAAATAGCCCTAAGAGTTTGCTGGTGGAGAGGGAAAACCCTGCTTCTACCGAAACAGTCAGGGTACTCAGAACGTATCGAAGAAAGTTGGGGGCCATTTGGGGAAAGGCAATCCCTAGGTGGAGGAGGTATAAAAGAAGAACTTCCGGTACGGGAAAAAACAAACCACAACCTTTGAAATAGACTTCGTACGCACAACAGTAACCCTCACGCACCACTTCCGGAGACTCGTTGGGTCTAGGAAGAGAGAATTCAATTTCCTGGGGGATGTTACAAAGGCGGCGAAGAGCGCCAAGGGAAGCGGAGGTCGACTGAGACTTGAAATGCGGACTAAATTTGTCTCCCCTTTGGATGAAGACTTCATCCCCTCTGGGAACAGGGATTCCTTGACTGTCATCTTCGTTTTCCGAAACATAGACGGTTGGGGAAGACATCTTTTACTAAGAGGTTTCTCTTTTTCTGGTTTGGTAAAAGCTTTAGGGGTAAATGTACGCTGCTGTAAAAGCCGTCGTTCCATTTAACCTTATTTAGCGGAAAACCGCCTCGAGAATATTGGGAAGTGGGACAGTTTTCCCCGTAGTATTAATATAAAATTAAAAAATTAATGATGACGGTTGTCAGGGATATCAAATCATTTGATTATCCGAGATCGGCATAATAGCGTAAAACATGGAATAATTCCAGAATGCTAGAGATCCTGAGTCATTAATTACTGTTTACTTAAGTCTTCCAAGCCGAGCATTCAGCTCGCAAGACTTGGGGGGCTAAATGTTGGGGTCGGATCCCACACATCTTCGGTAGGATCCACTTGGATCTGTCCACGTCATTATTACATAATAATCCTCTTAGATTTCTAGATGTTTCATTGCGAGAATCGAGCTCGACCTGTCGGAAGTTCGATTCAGTTTATTAAAGAGCTCGATCTTTACCAGTACGGAGTTCGCTCTTATTCAACATACAGTTCGCATAAAGGAAGGCCGAAGCGAGGGGAATATTGTTTGAGGTTCGCGGCAGCGTCAAGACGCAGGAGTTCGGAGTCAACAAGAAAGAGTTTGGAAGATCCACGCGAAGCCCAAGATAGTTCAAATTCAAGCCGTTTCAGTCAAATTGTAACCTACATGATTAATGCGGATCAATGCGATTATGAGCGGTAAATGACCGTATTGATCATGTTTTCTCTATAAAAACAACCTCAAACGCATGTGTTTGAGGAGGGGAACAACTTTTTACCTCTTACGATCAAGCAATACAACATACTCTTTCTTTTACAATTTCGCAAGGCTTTTTACTATTTTATTTTTGCCAAGCTCTTTCGATTTATTTAGTTTCTTGGTTACTTTCCTTTTCAAATCCTTATTTTCATTTGTTGATTTTAGAGTTTTTCTCCACAAAAATACTTAAAGACAATCGAGTGTGGATCCTACATCCACACTCGCCCCGACTCCGGAGACTCGAAGGGCTCCGGAACTACCATCTCTACCTCAGGGGGGGGATGAGACATAATCTACGAAGATCGTTGAGAGAATCAATAGTTGATTCACTCTGGGGGTGAAGATCAAACCCATCTCCGGTTTGAATTTGAGGTCCGGATCCTTCACCCATGAGAGCTTCGAGATCGTCAGCCTCGTATTCGCAAAATTCGGAAGAAAGGTTCGACATTTTACGAAAAGGATTTTTTACCAAAAAGAAAACAATGATTTCTGTAATAAGAATGAAAGTTCTCTAGGTAAAGAAGATAAGATGGAAAAGTAATATTACCTCTTAGAACCCTAAAGTATGATGAAAGACCGCCTCGAGAATATTGGGAAGTGGGACGGTTTTCCCCGCAGTATTAATATAAAATTAGAAAATTAATGATGACGGTTATCAGGGATATCAAATCATTTGATTATCCGAGATCAGCGTAATAGTGTAAAACATGGAATAATTCCGGAATGTTAAAGATCTCGAGTCATTAATTACTGTTTACTTAAGTCTTCCAAGCCGAGCACTCAGCTCGGAAGACTTGGGGGGCTAAATGTTGGGGTCGGATCCCACACATTTTTGGTAGGATCCACTTGGATCTGTCCAAGTCATTGTTACATAATAATCCTCTTGGAATTAAAGATATTTTATTGTGAGAATCGAGTTTAACCAGTCGGGAGTTCGGTTCGATTTATTAAAAGAGTTCGATCTTTACCAGTACGGAGTTCGCTCTTATTTCAATATACAGTTCGCATAGAGAAAGGCCGAAGCGAGGAGAATATTGTTCGAGGCTCGCGGCAGCGTCAAGACGCAGGAGTTCGGAGTCAACAAGAAAGAGTTTGGAAGATCCACGCGAAGCCCAAGATAGTTCAAATTCAAGCCGTTTCGGTCAAAATGTAACTTACGTGATTAATGCGGATCAATGCGATTATGAGCAGTAAATGACCGCATTGATCATGTTTTCTCTATAAAAACAACCTCAAACGCATGTGTTTGAGGGACGAATCTGATTATTCATTACTTCTAAGCAATACAATACATTTTTCTCTCTTTACTATTTTTTGCAAGGCATTTTGCACTTCATCTTTCGATAAATTTCTTTACTCCTTTTCTTGGTTGTTTTCCATTTCGAATTCTCGTATTCATTTCCTGATTTTACAAGAGTTTTTCTCCACAAAAATACTTGAAGATAATCGAGTGTGAATCCTACATCCACAACAACGACGCATATATCAAAGCAATAAGATCAAGTTCGATTCTAGTCCTTACAGCCCTATAACTAAGTGGTGTGTGCTTGTTATAACACGATACAAATTCGTAAGCTAGGTCTAGCGTATTAAACAACCTTGTGAGCAATTTAAACACTTGGGATCACGAGTTAGGACATGAATCTAACTACATGCATTAAGAAACAACTTATTTAGAAAGAGTACAGTGTAAACGATCAAACAGAACCCTAGATATTGCCACCTAAACGATCGGTCATATTCCCCCCTTTAAACCCAACTAGAAAACTACTCTAGCATGGTTAAAGAGATCATCAAAGTTAGGTTTGATAAACTCATAAGAAAGAGAAGACTAAGAACTGAATAGGGTTTAGAGATTACTTCTTTGAATATAGAATACAAGAGGTAAGACTTCACCTTAATAGATCTTAGAGTAAACAAGAGAAAAGAGAGAGATAGATTCGGTGATTCTTCAAAGCTTCAAGGTGCGATGGCTGCAGCTCACGGCGAGGGCAGAGAAGACTTGATTGGCACGGTGGAGGCACTTTGAAGGCACAATAGGGTTAGGGCTTCCATCATGTATTTATAGGGTTTGGAGACCAAGGATTAGGTCTAGGGGTAAAAGCGTCGTTACCGTGATTAGGTTTAAGTGCAAACTCGAGTTTCTTGCAAGGGAGAAGTCTTAGTGACCGGTCTGGAGAGTGAGACGCAGCACGGGCTAGGCCCATGTGGCCTATGTGTGGCCCAGAAGCTCCAGATCGGTTGCATAGCTTCTGGCCGGTCTGGACATGTCTTCACTCTTCTGGTCATAACTTCCTAACGACTTGTTGCAAAGCTCTGATTCCACTTTGAAGCGAATCTTGACTCTTCTAGCTTTCTATAGCCACCGAGATCTCTTGATTTAGTAACCGGGAAGACCTCGAACGGATTCCATACTTCTGACGTACAGAAACTGTCTTGAAACGGGTTTTGATCGCCTTTTGGTCTTTAAAGCTCAAAAACTCTTAAAACCTTCTTGGCTCCATAAATACTTGAATAACTCCTTCTTAGCTCTGAAATCACTCCAAATTATCCCTAAAACATAAAAAAAACAATAACAAATATGGGCGAAAATCCCATGTTATCAACAATGAACTAACCTTCCCGAAGACATGCTAGGTGTCATACATGGTAATTAAGGTTGGAGAATCTTCTTCTCTCGACTTCATATCTTTCCTCACTTCATGCAAAATATTTTGTCTTATTTCTAAATTCCCAGACGCGTGGAAGAATTTTAAGCTCACTGAAGTATTTCCACCACCATGGAATAAGATTCCTAAGAAAATCAAATTCTTAGTTGAATGTGTAAAAAATGGGAATGTTCACGTTATTTTCTTGTGTGGTCTTATAGATTACTATTTCAAAAAGAAATTTCTACAGGGATTGCTCAGCTCTCTTATGCAGCTAAAGCTACTCATTCAGAAGCACTGTATGTTGACGGAATGATTCTATTCAGTGAAAGGCAAAAAGATGAAGGATCCAACTATATTACCCAACTTTGAAAAAATCAAGGATTTGAACCTGTTGGATAATGCCTAGAGAACAGTCGTGAGGTTATTTCTGGAGTTAAGCGTAAGGCAATACCGAGACTATGATATGCTACTAACTCAAATTGAGGTTGATGACGAGTGCGTTGCTGGAGATTTTGATCACGATTGTCATGGTTGTTTCATCTACAAAGAAATTTTCCACTTCATATACTATATCCACTATGTTTAAGTGAAGTTTGTTTTCTTTTGGTTTAGACACATATTTCCTTTAGAACACATTATGTAGACACAACGTATTCACATTTGAAATTTTTATTGATAATTTTTAAATTTTAAATTCATGCCTTCTATTAAATTTAAAACAGTTTTTGATTGTCGATAAAGTATCGGAAGAAAAAAAACAAAAATACAGTATTATATATAGAAACTAACCTTCATCGTGGTAGAGAATTCATTGTTTCGGTATAAGATGATCTCCATAAACAATACACCAAACGCAAACACATCTGGCTTCTCATCTACAATCACGTGCATAAAGTACTTTGGAGCTGGAACCTGTAAGAAAAAACAAAGAACTAACCAGGTTTTGGACTAAAAAACATCGAGAAGAAAGGTTCACATAAAGATATTGTAGTTGTGGAATTCAACGTCTGACCCGAATGTGCCTTCGATAGGGAAAACAATGTGATGAGGCGAATTCTCTGGGAACCACTTAGGTAGTCCAAAATCTGAAATCTGCAAACCCAATTCATATCAAATTCTCAGTACATATACAAAAATTTGATTGCATTTTGTTGCATCAATCAATACCCGAGCTTCGTAATCTAGACATAGCAAAATGTTGGAAGCTTTGATGTGACGATTGAATAATCATAAGATCAACAAATATCAACTTTAAGGATCAAACTTTGTCAGGAACAAACTTCACCAAAGACCTTGATAACTACATCAACCTTCCTTTCGAGATATCAATTTCAGATTTTGATGAAATACCCAAAATCAGCAGATCCTTGATCTTGTAGCTGTCTCAACAAATGAAGAAAGTGAAGAAATCTAATAACCCACCCCACCAACTATCCAAAGCTTCTACAACTTTATTAATCACCAAATCAAGCTCCCAAACACAACTTTGTTATAGAACCAGCTCTACTAAAGAGTTTTTTTTTCTTACTTTTTCCTAGGTCAGATCAAACACTCGATTATCAAGAAATATAACCAAAACCCATAAGCCTATTTAAAAAACTAGCACATTTGGGGTTATAACCCAGATTTAAAAAGACCAAGATGGACCATATATAAATTTAAAAAGCCCAAGATGATGATGTTATAAAATGATGTGGAATAGGGGAGGATTTCTCCTAGAAGAAAATAATGATGATCAAATTCTCAGGGGCTCCTCAAGCTCCGAAAATTTTCTCAAATACTCTTGTTATAACATTTAATTTAATTTTGATATTTTTTTAAAATCGAAAAAGGAGACAAAGACATACGGGACCTTGATATTTTGATTTTATTACGTACCTAACCAAGCTAAACAGATTAAAATAACCCAACTTCTCTTCAATCCAAGTCAAAACTCAAAAACCCTAGATTCCTCTTTTCCTTTGTCGACATATTCAGACCCGACAAAATAAAACTCACATCCTTCATCCTCTTTTATCCTCTCCACCGCAAAACCAAAGATCTCGACCAACATCTGGGATTCTTCTTCCTCCTTTCATTCCGACATCTTCGTCATCCTCTGTAAGTGAAATTAGTCTTTTGATTCGAATTTCTTTGGAATTCAAAAGAAATTTTGGATTAGAATCCGATAATCCAAGAAACCCAATTTCTTCTCTACAATTTTGTTTTTTCACAATCTAGAATCTGAGATGTTGTACGTGATTAGTTATGTCTGAATGTTGGGGTTTTGTTTTTAGAATCGTAAGATGTCCAATTCTAAACTGCCTTGGACCAAGAACGCTACGGTTCCAACCGAGCGTGAAGCAGAACCAGTACTAGGCGAAGAAGAAGAGTTGTCTAGAGAAGATCCCAATAAGGATCCAGAAGATTATGAAGAAGCGGAGCAAAATTCAATGGTATATGTTTGTGTAAAAATTCAGAAAAAAATTGATAAATTTGTTGCTTTTGTAAGTTTTGTAAGATGAGTATGTAACTTTATTTGGATTATAGGATTTAGGAGATGAAACTGAACCATTACGACCATTAAAGATGTACTTTAGCCCCTCCGATTATGTGAATCAATTCAAGCTATGATCAAAGTGTTATATTCATCAAGCGGTGAAGCTTTGATAAGTCTGTATTTTACTTGTTTTGAGCATTCATTTGTCATCGCTTTAGCATCGTTTCATCACTATTTCATACCATTCACCATCATTTATCTTCACTTTGCATATTTAGGATATTTTTGCATACATTTTGCATTTCTGAGTTTGTTGGGGTCGGATTTCATCCCTAGCACCGAGCCGGATTCGGACGCCTCGGGGAACTTCTGAGGATCACCTCGGGGAAGCGTACCAACCACTTCGGAGGAAACGAGCCATCACCTCTGTGCAAGGTGCCATTCACCTCGGGCCAGTACAACGATCGCCTCGGGAAGCGCCCGTAGCCTGCTCGGAATCTGCTAGCCAGCTTGTGAACCCGAGCCGGCTCTCTTAAAGTACCCGAGCTGGTTCATGCCAGGATGCCCGAGCTGGCTCCTTCTGTGCGCCCGAGCCGCTTTCCCTCGGAAGCCCGAGCTGCGCATCTCTTATCTCCGAGCCGATTAAACAAGTTACCCGAGGCTAAGTCCTCATCGTCACCCGAGGCAAAGACTTAGTAAATATTCGTCTTCAAAGTACCATTTCCAGGTAAGGCGTCATTTCCGAAAAAGAAGGATCATTTCCGATAAAACCGGAAATGATAAGGAAGAATCTCGAAGGATCAACTCAAATCAGGAAATCTCCCAAGAAACTCCGAAGAATAAGGAAACTATCCTAAATCCGCGATATTCTAAGCCGACTTTGAGATAAATGGAAATCTTCCGAGAATATCGCTGGAGAGGCGGTTTATTACCCCTATATAAAGAGACTCAAGGCTCAAGCAGAAGGGGAGGCAATATCGCTCCAGAATTTACTCTACGCAAAGCTCTCACAGCACAAACATTCTTTTTCTTTTACGATCAAACTCTTGTACGATCAAAGTCATCTTTTTCTTAATAATATCAAGAACACCATCTTTGGTATCAATTGATTATGTCGTTCTTTGAGAATTCTCGCGAATCGTATCCCTAAATTAAAACCCTAGACAAATCTCGATTGTGTTAGTTTCGACTTCCACAGTTTGGCGCCGTCTGTGGGGATTACTAGGGAATTCTCTTACCCTAAGACGCAGAACTCGATTACCGAAAAGGACGATGAACGAAGATGGTCGTCAGACACCACCAGCCGTAGGAGGGAACCCTAACCCTCCGAACCCTCAAAATCCTCAAGCCGATCCGACGATTATAGCGACCCTAGCCGAACTGAAAGACCTGATGGTTAAATTCCAGAAGAAAGCTGACGACCAAGAGAAAGCTAACAAAACCTTGGCGCAGCGAGTCGACGAAATCGCAACACGTGGGCAACCAAAAACCACGCATTTCCAGACTCGGCCGCCACGAGCTCGGAGGGACTTGCCTGGCATCAACCCAACAAGACTCACGTTCGCGACACCAACCGACAACACCAGAGTCGCAACCCGAGCCGACCCTACCAGACGCGAGAACCAAGATGATCCCACCGAGCCAGACGCAGTGGACTTGACGGACGAGCCAGATGATTTGCAAGACGAGCGCACCCGAGCCGGAGCTAACTCCGCCGAGCGAATGGATCTCACCGACGATGAAGAAACTGAGGAAAACATAAGATGGGCTGAAAAATCCGAAAGAGAGGACGAGCTTAGCAAGATCCGAGCCTCCCTAGCCAAGGCGGAAGCCGATATGAAGCTTGTCAAAACCCAGATACATAGCGTTTCATCCTCTGCACCTAACATCAACCGAATTTTGGAAGAATCTCGGAATACGCCTTTCACCAAAAGAATTTCCGAAACGACGATGTCCAATCTGGGGAAGTTCAAAATTGACTCTTACAACGGATCAACCGACCCGAAGTGTCACATTAAATCGTTCGTGATATCCGTGGCCCGAGCCAGGTTCAAGCCCGGGGAGAAGGATGCAGGTCTATGCTTACTATTCGTGGACACCTCAAAGGACCAGCATTAGAGTGGTTTTCAAGATTGGAACAAAACTCGATTGACAGTTTCGACGAGCTGTCGACACTGTTCCTCAAGCAATACTCCGTGCTCATCGACCCCGGAACTTCCGACGCGGACCTGTGGTCCCTATCTCAACAGCCCACCGAGCCATTAAGAGATTTCCTCACAACTTTCAAATCTACGCTAGCCAAGGTCGAAGGAATTATGGATGTAGCCGCTCTTTCGGCTTTGAAGAAAGTTCTTTGGTACAAGTCAGAATTCAGGAAAGAGTTGAACCTGTCTAAACCGACAACAATTCGCGACGCGCTGCATCGAGCCTCGGATTTCGTCGCCCACGAAGAAGAGATGGCACTGCTAGCAAAGAGGCATGAGCCAACAAAGCAGGTGCCCCGAGCCGAGAAAACCGAGAAAGCCCAAGCGACACCTCCGGTCTAGAAGAAGACGCGTGAGAGCGGTACGTATACGCATCACGAAGGGCGCAATTTCTCAGGATACCATAACTACCAGATTGACACGCGCCGAGGCCGAGGCTGAGGCCGTGGGCGAGGAAGAGAGTCTTTCACCTGGACAAGGGATCAGCCACCGAGCAATTATCAAGAATATTGCGAACACCACAAAATTTTCGGCCACCATACCTCGAGATGTCGAAGCCTCAGCGCTAAGTTAGCAACCAAATTCCTAGCTGGAGAGCTCGGGATGAACGTCACTCTTAAGGACCTCGAGCCAGAGCCAGAGCCTGAGCACACCAACCCGGGAAGAGACCCCGAACCAAGGAACCAGGAGTCTCAGAAAAGAACCCGGGGAACGGAAGACGTAGACCGAGATGGTACGCGGCAGAAGGTTCTCACCATAATGGGTGGATCGCCATACTGTCCTGACACCGTAGCGGCAATCAAAGCTTATCAACGCCGAGCCGAGATGCCTAACAAATGGACAAGATGCTTTGATCGACCTAACGACGTGATCACATTCGAAGAAAGCGAGACAAACGGGCTCGACATGCCTCATAACGATCCAATTGTCGTCACATTAGCGATAGGAGACCATGATATTTACCGAGTATTAATTGACACCGGCAGCACCATCAACGTGATCTTTCGCGAGACGCTCCGACAAATGAACATCGACATGTCACAGGTAACTCCGACCCCGAGGCCAGTCCTTGGGTTTTCAGGAGAAACTTTAATGACGCTTGGAACCATTCAATTACCAGTCCGAGCCGGCGGGGTGACAAAGATAGTCAACTTCTCGGTCACCGATCAACCTACCATCTACAACGTCATAATGGGAACGCCGTGGCTAAATCTAATGCGAGCTGTCGCCTCAACATATCATCTCTGTGTCAAATTCCCGATCCCCAATGGCGTGAAAACGATCTGGGGCAGTCAGAAGAATTCTTGGATGTGTTTCATGGCAGCACACAAACTCCAAAACCCTGTCACTGAAGCAAAGGCTGAGACCGACCACAAGAAATCGAAACTTGGCCGGAGTGAAGAAAAGGCTATATCTAAACAGTTATAGCAATTACAAATTGAGGAGGCGCGCGAGGAGAAGAAGCCTACCTCGGATCCTGTAATCTCCATTAGCCTCGACGAAGAACGGCCTGAACGGTGCGTGGAAATCGGTAGCGACTTAACCGAAGAGATAAAAACCGAGCTCATCTCATTCCTCAAAAAGAACATCAACACCTTCGCCTGGTTGGCTGAAGATCTACCCGGAGTAAGCATCGACGTAATCTGCCACGAGCTGAATGATGACCCATCTTTCAAGCCCATCAAGCAGAAGCGAAGAAAATTGGGTCGGGATCGTGCAGATGCCGTGAATACAGAAGTAGAAAAGCTCCTAAAGATCGGTTCAATCTCCGAAGCAAGATATCCAGACTGGTTAGCGAATCCCGTCGTGGTTAAAAAGAAGAACGACAAGTGGAGAGTTTGTGTCGACTTCACCGACCTGAACCAGGCTTGTCCTAAAGATAGTTTTCCC